TTATTTTTTTTTAATTTCAAAATATCACAGGGATACAAATGTTTTTGGTTACCTGTATCGCTTTTGTTTATGCTTAACTAAGGGTTTTAAGTGTTCTCATCACCCAGATGGTGTTCATTGTAACTGTTAGATAGGTTTTTGCCCAATCTCCTTTACCATGTCCCCTCCCCGCTGCTTGATTTCCACTGAGTTTTACTGCCCTCTGTGCACATGTGTGCTCATTGGTCAGTTCCAATTTAATAGCGAGTACATGTGTTTGTTTTTCCATTCTCTAGATACTTCACTTTGGATAATGGTCTCCAGTTCCATCCAAATTGTTGAAAAAGGCCTTAATTCATCCTTCTTCATGGCTGAGTTGTATTCCAGAGTATACATATACCACATTTTATTAATACACTCATGAATTGATGGGCACCTGGGTTGATTCCACATCTTTGTAATTGTGAATTGTGCTCTAACAAACATTTGAGTACAGGTGTCTTTTTGATAGAATGATTTCTTTTCCTTTGGATAAATACCTAGTAGTGGGATTGCTGGATCAAATGGTAGGTCTACTTTTAGTTATTTCAGGAATGTCCATGCTGTTTTCCATAGAGGTTGTACTAATTTGAAATTCCATCAATAGTGTATAAGCGTTCCTTTCTCTCTGCATCCATGCCACCATCTATTGTTTTTGCATGTTTTAATAAAAGCCATTGCGACTGGGGTAAGGTGATATTTTATTGTGTTTTTAATTTTCATTTCACTGATAATTAGTGACACTGAGCATTTTTCCTATGTTTATCGGCCATTTGTCTATCTTCTTTTGCAAAGCTTCTGTTCATGTCTTTTGCCCACATTTTAAAGGGGTTGTTTGTTTTTTCATTGCTGATTTGCTTGAGTTCTTTGTAGATTCTGGTTATTAGCCCTTTATTGGATGTATACGTTGCAAATATTTTCTCCCATTCTGTAGGTTGTCTATTTGCTCTGTTGATTATTTCCTTGGCTGTACAGTAGCTTTTTAATTCAATCAAGACCACTTTATTTATTTTTGTTGTTGCTGTAATTGCCATTGGAGTCTTCTTCATAAATCCTTTGTCTAGGCCTATATATAGAAGAGTTTTTCCAACATTTTCTTCTAGAATTCTTATGGTTTCATGCTTTACATTTAAGCCTTTTATCCATCTGGAATTAATTTTTGTGAGTGGTTGAGAGACATGGATCCTATTTCATTCTTCTGCATGTGGCTATCCAATTTTCCCAGAATCATTTATTGAATAAGGCTTCTTTTCCCCAGTGGATATTGTTGTCTGATTTCTCAGTGATCAGTTGGCTATATGTGAATGGTTTTATATTTGGGTTCTCTGTTTTGATCCATTGGTCTATGTCTCCATATTTGTGCCCATACCCTGCTGTTTTGGTTATTAGCCTTGTAGTACAAGTTTGAAGTGTGGTAATGTGATGCCTCCAGATTTGTTCTTTTTGCCTAAGATTGCTTTGGCTATTGGGGCTCTTTTCTCATTCCAAATAAAGCGTAGAATTATTTTTTCTAGATCTGCGAAATATGATGTTGGTATTTTGATGGGGATTGCATTGAATCTGTAAATCACTTTGGGTAGTACAGACATTTTAACAATGTTGATTCTACTAATCTGTGAACATGATATGTTTTTTCATTTGTTTGCATCATCTGCGATTTCTTTCCACAGTGTTTCATAGTTCTCTTCATAGAGATCTTTGACCTCCTTGGTTAAGTATATTCCTAGGTATTTTATTTTCTTGATAGCTATTATGGTATTATGGTGTGAATGGTATTGAGTCTTTGATTTGACTCTCAGCTTGACTGTTATTGGTGTATAGGAATACTACTGATTTGTGTACATTGATTTTGTAACCAGAGACTTTGCTCAATTTGTTTATCAATTCTGAGAGTGCCTTGGTGGAGTCATTGGGGTTTTCTAGATATACAACCATATCATCAGCATCACTATATATTTAATAGGCCAT